GCAGCACGTCTCCCCTCTGTGACCTGCAGTTGTTACAGCGGTGTGTGTGTGTGTGTGTGTGTGTGTGTGTGTGTGTGTGTGTGTGTGTGTGGTTAGTCTCACCTGGAGCTCCAGCAAAACCCTTTATAGGCATCATACTGCCGTCTGCCCCCTCTGGCAACACAGAGGTCATCATTTTCCCTGGGGGGCCTGCCTCTCCAGTCTCCATTACAGGCAGCTGTGGGAGGCGGTGGTCCACAAGGCCAGCTGAAACTCCAAAACTTGTGCCTGAAATGGGATGAAGTCCCACCTCCCCCACTTCACCTGGAGACACATGGRTCAAAGCTGCAGGTTAGAGTGAATAAACCAGGTGTTTACATCTCACCTGTATGCACCTGTGAAACAGATGAACACCTCAATTATTATAGAGATTTCTTTTATCTGAGTCTTATTCTCCTTAAAATCCTACAGCTGATGCCAGAGCTTAAATTTGCTATTTAATAAGTACAATTACCACCACATTTGTACCATGTTTTCTCTGAAACTTTGTGTAATAAATCTGTAKCTTGTAATATTTATTATTTCATCAAAAACACAATCAGGCTATCAAAGGAAAAACGGCTGCTGCACCAACGCCGACAGAATCACAAGCTTAATTACAAGAGCAAAAAACTTCATACAGAGAGAAAAACACAAAACATTATATGAACTGRTTTATTTAAATTTGGCTCTCATTTTGATGCTATGAACGCATCTCAAAATATTTTTCTGTTTATATGGTTTGTCCAACTACTAACACAACTGAAAAAGCGGTAGTTGTTGCTACATTGAGTTTATCCCTGGTCCGCATTCTGGTTTAATGACAACAAGCTGCGGCCTCCAGGGCTGGAAAATAAAGGCAAGCACAACCAGCCACAGCTGTCTCCAAACGCGGGTCAATCACCACAAACCCATTTTTTTGCTGAAAGACAAGGCAGGTGGACTTGTTTTTGACTCTTGTTTCATCACAGAGGAGCTTCTTTAGTCACCTGATGAGTGAAGAGCTGCAGGCTTTTAGACTTGGGAGGTCAGTAAAGGATTCATTGTAAGTTATCAAGATTAGAGCTGGTTTACCAGTCTGCATGGCAAGGTCACAAAAAGTATGATGAAAATGATTGTTTTTGTGATATTTTTCCTAGTTTAACACAAGGTATGTTTCTATCCAAAAACATTAAATATAACACTGTAAAAGTGACAGTGAGTAAAAGTATAAGTATCTTATCATAAAATTACTTTGGTAAAAGTTAAAGTCTCCTGAGAATATTACTTGAGTAAAAGTCTTAAAAGTATCCAATTTCTTTTGTACTTAAGTATCAAAAGTAAATTTCTGACATAAAATCCAAGTATTAAAAGTAAAAGTATTAAGTAACAGTGAGTGGTTAGATTTTCCAAAGTACACTTATTGGGGGGTGACCTCCAAAATTTTTTTTTCTAAAAACATGCAGCTGTGATGAATTGTGTAAAAATTAATACAGTATCATTTATACTTCTCATCCAACAACAATTAAATTCACTCTATCCTGGATGCACAATTTATCAGGATAGTATTTTTTTAACACTAACAAGCTGTAACAAAATACTGTAGGAGAAACAACTTTCTACTTCTTACTTTTTAAAAAATCTAAGGAGTAGAAAGTACAGATAACTGTGAAAATGTAAGAAGTAAAAGTAAAAAGTACACTGAAAAATAATTACTCATGTAAAGTACAGATAGCCAAATTTTCTACTTAAATACAGTAACAAAGTATTTGTACTTAGTAACTTTACAACTCTGAATATATGTTAAAACAGCTAATGTAATATTAGATTTTTCTCATATCAGCACTATTTGAACACTTTTTCTTTTGAAGACATTGGGCAGAATCTCATGAAAAAGATGTTGTCGTCCATACATTATTTTTCAGTCCATTGAACCCTTAATTTATTTATTCATGTAAGAACTCATGTCCAAGGGGCAAAAAGAAAGGTTCTGAAACAATACTAATATTTTAAGTTTCATAATCCATCTCTTTACATCTCCATTTTCTGCTGCTTATCCATAGTCGGGTCGCAGAGGCAACAGGGCCAAGAGAGAAACCCAGACATCTCTATCCCCAATGACACTTGGCAGCTCAACCTAGGGGACCCCGAGGCGTTCCTAGGACTAAGAGGATGCATAATCCCTCTTGTGAGTTCTGGGTCTTTTCTGGGGCGTCCTACATGCCAGGAACAAGGATCCAGGGAACATCTTAATCAAATGCCCAAACCACCTCAACCGACTCGATGCAGAGGAGCAGAGACTCTACTCTGAGCTCCAGCCGGATGATGGAGCTTCTCACCCTATCTCTAAGGCTGAACTCAGCCACTCTACGAAGATCATTTCGACCGTTTGTATCCAGGGTGCTGTTCTTTCCATCATGATCCACGTCTCATGACCACAGGTGAGGGTTGGAACATAGGCAGACCAGTAAATTGAGAGCTTTGCCTTTTAACCCTAACCCTAACCATTTCTTTACCATGAATAACCAAAGCAAAACCCTATTTACCAATGGGTTAATTCATCTTCTGATCTATCCTACCATCACTCATGAACAAGACGCCCAGATACTTAAACTCCTCCATGTGAGGCAGAGACTCCCCCCAGATYCAGAGGGGTCATTTTATCCTTTTCCGGTCAACCATGGCCTCAGTTTTAGAGGAACAGTCTCTTTTATAATCCAAGTATTAGGAATCTAATAACTGAGGTATTTACTCAGAAACACTCATATATGAAGCTGGAGGTGGTTCTTCCATTGCCTAAATGATTTTGTCCTAAAAAGTGTTTAAGCTTCTTTAGATTCTGGACATCTTGTCCCGATGAGTATTTTATTATTTACTCAACCATCATGCACACACTCATTCATGATTCACACATACATCATTCACRTCACATGGTGGGGTCTCATGAATCATTGGGTGCGGTTAACAATTTACACATCAAATTATTTTTATTACATATAAAGACTACAGAAGGCCAACATTCCCAGCCACAGTGCTGAAATTGATCACTGTACATAAGCTTGATTTATTTACCACATTTTATTGTTTACAGGCAGGTAGTCCAGGCCGTGTTTCTGTTTTCCACACAAAGCTGTTGATTGAGTTTGAGTTCCTTTCAAAGATGACGCTGAGTATCCACCCTGTTCAGGACAGGACTACTGATGGGTCCCATTAACACCCCGACAACAAACAATTATCCGAACCTGTTATTACAGACTTGAAAAGAGAAAATCACATCCCACTGCTCCTTCTGCTGCCAAAGCGTGCTCATCCCTAAACAACTGCATTCCTGAGAGCCGCAACTGAGTTTATCAACAAATCTCCCCTCCTGGCTGATTGCTGCCATGGCTCTTTAGTCTACGATGGTAAAACCCAAACTCTGCCGCCCCCAGAAGGTAATCCAGCACATAAAAGGCATACCAGCAGCATACCAAGGCTCGGCCACATGCCTGGTTCCTGGGAAGCTGGTCCCCTCACCCCCCGGGGGAGGAAAGGGTCATTTATTAAAGAAGCCAGAGAAGTCTGCCTGTCAAGAGTCCACTCTGTGTTTCTCTGGTGCTGAGGGTTGTGTGCTGTTCAGGGTCGCCTTTGATCTGAACAATTCTGCTGTGATTTCAAACCTGGTGCCACGAGGATAAAAGAGGCGAGCACAGGATGTGTATCTGCATCTGCCTGGATGAAAGAGGTGAGCCGTGAGCAAATACAGCTGGATCTGCTGGGGACTAAATGTGCAGCGCAGGATGGGAAATCCTTAACGTTTGTTGTTAGTCATTTACTCGCCAGCAGTTCCTGATTATAACCCTGCAAAACCTACCACTTTCTATGTTACAAATCACCTTCTGATGACTTTATGAGTCACCACAACACAATGAGCTCACAACTTCGATTCAAGCCTCTGAAAGCAGCCACAAAGTTTAGGGTCTAAACCAGAACTCAGGAGGGGTAAAAAAAAAAGATGTGCTGAATTACCTTCTCATAAACAAGCAAACACCTCCTCAGCCTGAAGTCAACAAGGTCCAAACGAGCAGCAGATTTTATTTTTCTTTTACGGCCTTCTGCCAGGCCTCGTCTTGTTTGTGGCTCGTGAAGTGTGGAGGAGTGTGTGTCCGTTTTATCTCTCAAAGGTCGCTGACCCTCGAGCTCAAACACTCAGCCACGTCAAACGCAGGAAGACATGCCTTCTTATCGCCACGGATTCCCATAACAGCTAAACAACGCTGCCATAAGTGAGATTCTCTCAAGCATAAACCAAAGGATCCATAATATTATAAAATAAGGATGATTTGGCATTTTGTTTCCATCCGTGTTTCATAAAGTTTGTATTTAGATGAATAATGTGAAACAAGTAGCAGGTATTTCTGTCACATGGAGATAAATGGAAATTCTTGTTTAGCGAGACCCTCTTTTACAAGCAATGCTCAATAAAACTTCCATTAAGTCCATAAAATTGCTTTTAAAGTTTAAGAAACCAAATCATTTAAATGTTATAATCTCTGTTAGAGAAAAGAATTCAGTGGCCAACATGTTAAATAACACTAATGGACCTGAAGAGACAAAACGACTCCAACTTTAAAACTGAGTTAGAAAAATGCATTTGGTTTGCTGTCATTTTTAGGATGAGTGGTAAAAGCTTCTTAGAAATTAAAATCAGGATAATCTGAACATCTGTTTTACCTGAGTTTACTTTAAATTACACTGAATGTTAGAGGACTTCACCTCTGAACTGGGGGAAGCTTGGCTGTCATTGCTTTAATGTCCACAAGTAACAGCCATGGCAATCAATCAATCAATCAATCAATCAATCAATCAATCAATCAATCAATCAATCAATCAATCAATCAATCAATCAATCAATCAATCAAGTTAATGAGACAGGAATACAAAACAAGATGGTTAAGATTATTAAACAACAACCCCATAGGAATGATTACAAAAAATCATATTAAAACAGGAAAGAGTGTTCTATAAAGACAAATAATGGAAGCTTTTATCCAATCATGATGCTTCTCACACACGGCTTCATTGTGAAAGAGTTGTATGAGCAAAATGGGCAATTTGATCAAACCTTTAGTAAAAACAGACTATGGAAGTTGCAGTTTTGTGTATTGTATGGACAAAAATGAAACGTGAAAGCTATGATGCTTTTTTAATGAAAAAAATATTCTGTGACTTAGCTGCATTTTATCTAAATGAACAAAACAAGAAGCAGGAGGCCCCGTGGACATATAAAAACTGAAGACAGTTGTAGAAAAAGCAAAGCGTCTCAATTTTGGTTCTCAGCCCATTGTTAGTCAACACGGGATTAAGAAACTTTTTTCCCTCTGGTGATCTTGATGTTCCCTTTACACAGGAGTCTCTGAAAAAAGGGGTTCAGCTATAAAAATCCTCCAGTTTTTAAACCCAATGCCCAAGCTGCAGTAAAAGTCAAAGCACTAATACAAGAAAAGATCCAATGTCCAAAGATCTTCTGACTTAGCTGTATTTCTTTCATGAATTCACAAGTTGTAATAAATATTCCTCAGYATGACTGAGTTAGCGAGCTTTGAAAGCAACAAAAATCATGACAGCTCCTTCCGTTCTGTTTCCAACCCTCTCCTCGAAGATTAACAGCCGGGGTGACATCATTCATAAACACACTCACGAACGGCCTTTGGGAGCTTATTTCACAGGATTTGTTTCGTCAGAAAGGAAACTCTCACACTGAGGTTTGGAAATGTGAGAAAACTGCAGATGTGACTAAAGAAGGAGCGGAGACAAAACAAAATGGGTCAACAGTGAAGATGTCCATCCAGTAGCTCTTGAWATAAACACACTAAAGCTCCTGGCTCTGAAGTGAAGAGACTTTCAGATAAGCCTCTTCCAGCAGAGCTTTCCAGTCTCTTCGGATAAACTTGTACACAAGGTCAAATGAGGAGCGCAAAGTGGAAATAAAAAAAAAAAATGTAGCGAGCAGTAAATCGCAAACTAATACATCTTTCTGAACAAGAAGATCTGGTAAATGACATAATTCAAAAAGCCACAGGGTGGGGTGAATATTTAGTCACTGCACGCTCAGGAGAATGACTAAGATGCACGACTAAATGAGAAGCAAACAAAATAATAATTTAGATGAAAAGTTGTTTGGGCCAAACTTGGATAAATCCAAGAACAATATCCCCCCACCCCATCATCATCATCATCATCATCAACATCCCCTACTTCCAGACTGTACCCCATGCGGCATCACCAGCCAATAAAAAAAAACAGACTGAAGCTGCTCCCGAAGGACGAGACCTGGCTCGTAAACAGCATAGGCGTGCTGCTAGTTTCCGTTTACCAAACAGTAAGAGTCCACTTCAGTCTCGTAGGTACCATTAATGATTCATATGAGAAATATGCAACATGTGGACCAATATAGAAATCTACTGGTGCAAACGCTCACTGTAACAAACCCACGCATTTCAAAAAGCATCTGGAACGGAAAAAAACAACAAAAAACAACAACTCTGTTCTTAGAAAGGTCAGGGAAAGTCATTGCTGTTGGGCAATGGGAAGTAAAATATGTGTGATGAGTAATAAAATTAGGCAGGTTAGGAGGTTAATAGTGCCACTAAGAATAACAAAAACCAAACACTACACTGTTTCTGTTAAAGAAAAGAAAAGAAAAATTGCTGACTAATTTTAACTAAGTTAAATATCTGGGGCTGTTGATTGACTCAAACCTTTTCCTTAAAACTCATGTTGATAAGATTTGTGAAATAGTTACACTTTCATTCAATCAGAAATGGATTGTGCATTGAGGTGTCAAATCTTATATATATA